ATCACTCACGCATATACTCTGGGGAAAATTTCCCCCTTTTTTCCCCTCTTGCTACCTTTGCAACTTTGCACAGCTACTGATGAGCTTTGGAAGGGGAAAAGTATTTGAGCTAAAGTTTTCCCTCCTCGGCCTTGTCTTGCATTTTAAGACGCCGGGCTGCGATGTTTCCCACATTTAATATATACTTGGGAGACACACCCCCGGGTGAATATCCTGTGCATTTTATTTTTTACACAAAAATTGCTCTTAAAATACATTAAAAATGATGAAAATAATGAACAACTAATGAGGATTATTCTATAACCACGATCTTTATTAATATAATTTTGTGAAAAGTACTTTTAAATACTTAAATATATATATATAAAAATTATTATATATAATATAAAATTTATTTTTAAATATATAATAATATATATATTATATATATATATTTATATATAATAGATAGATAGTAGACAGATAGATAGTAAAATGTTTACTTGTCATTAACGGCAACAGAAAACCCATTGCAGACAAAAACCCTAAAAGGAAAAACAGGAACGTTGGTATTTTGACCTCTATTTAAACCCTTTCGTAGTCTGCGAAAGGGACCTCAATTAGGGGTCAAATATACATCCCTTTTCATCTACTGTTTCTTTAGTCACAATGGGGTTTTTTTGTTCCTATATCTTTTTACAGTTTTTCAGATAAACGTAAAGCCTAACAAGCCTCAAAACTTCTGCCTTGTTATTATGAAAGCCGAATACGGATGAATTAAAATTAAAAGGAAGGTTACTGCATTTTTTTTCCAATTTTTTTAAAAGGTAACCCCAAATTTGCATGTATTTTAAAATTAGAAGTAACCTCTTTAACCAGCGTCTCCCAAGCTCTCTAAACCCTGGCTGTCCCTAACCTTTTCCAACCCTGCTTGTCTCATCTCTTTTAACCGGTGTCTCCCCCCCTTCTTCTAAGGGGCCCCTCCCCTCTCCCAACCTGGCTGCTCCTAACGCTTTAACTCTGGGGTCTCCTACCTCTTTAACCCGGCTGTCTCTTCTTCACCCGACCGCTTCTGCCCCTTTTTCCCTTTTCCTTTCACTCGCTTTGTTTAAAGACTAGAAATATCGAAACCCCATGTAAGTTTCCCTTCAAGTTGCGGATTGCTGAAATGTTGTAGCCCAAAGGGATTGGGCTGTTAAAGTTCATAATGTACTGTGCTGTGGGTGTCAGCGGGACCCCCGGGGATCCCCTAAAAAAAGTTCAAACCCTTTTTTACTGAAGGTGGTTTGCTTTGGGGGGCATACTGAGTAGTCACTATTTGAAGAAAAAATTCCACATAGTATGCCAACAAGAACCCTGATGCCTGAGGACATAAAAAAGAGATGTATTAAGAAGCAATATGCTTGATGCATGTTAAATGGTTTAATTATCGCAAGGTGAAAAAAAAAACACTTTGCAACATCTGGGAAAATTTTATTATTGAGTGTGTGTGTAATGGTTGATTTCCTTTTTAAAACGAAGAAGTCCCCCCAGCCCGCCATGGCTGTGTTTCCAGAGATACCCCCACAACAGTCTGAAGAATGCTCAATAGTAGAGTAGAACCCGCTAGCGCCGTCCCCCTTTCTCGTTAGTGAGGGCGATCAGCCCACACCCCAACCACCAAGATGACAAGACCTGTCGGTGAAGTTTATTTTTAATGCACTATCACCGCTGAGGTAAGGCGATTCACAAAAAAAGGAAATACAATCACCCTCATTCAGTCAATTGCTTTCTTTCTAAAGCTTATTGCATGACAGTTCAGGTGGCCCTCACCCTTGATCATCAAAAGGCCCTTTTAAAACCTAATCAAAAAAACCAAGCACCCCCATTAGACATAACTGGTAAAAAGGTTGTAACTGAGGGCCAGTAATTGTGTAACTCAGTCTTGAAACAGGTTAAATAAGTCCCCAGTAAATCGATAAAGTTTGTCCCTACCTTTTTTATTCGTCGGAGACAGAACAAGTAAGTAAGTTTATTCAGGTATACACAAATGCAGTTACACAGATTATCATGCATAGCAGCATATGTGTAAAGTACCTAGGATAACTCAAAAAAATCAGACAGAGTAACTTATTCCCATTGGGGTGCCTCAGTCAGATAACCTGTCGTTAAAAATGTAGATATTAGTCCTAGCAACAGTGTGTAACTTAAGACTTAGTATGTAACTAAAGTCCTAATATTATGTAATGATATCCCAGTAATAGTGTGAAACTACTTACATCACAGTAATATTCTTCCTTTACCCAAATTTGTTTCTGTATACCGGAAATGGAGAATACCCGGGGCACAGATCTGGCCCCGCGGCCCGATCTGGACTAGGCCTCAGGGGGATCAGGGCTATCAAAGGGTGTTACTACTGGGCCCCACACAACCCCACGTAGACCCCCAGCCCGGTGGTCAGGTACTGACTTTAGCAAAAAATAGAGCCCCTGACTGGGAAACACTAACCTCATCTTCCTAAAAATGATGACTGATAAGAAATGTCACCATCAAAAACAATATATCGATAAAAACAAATTGAGGGTTTGACATGTATGCTGGAGCCCCAGACCGACAAATGAGACTAGTCACGGGGAGCATTCACCAAATTCAACTTCAATAGCAAAAAATAAGTGGGACCAAGTAAACCATCCCAACCGTTAAGTGGGGAAAAAATTTTTAAGCAAAACAGGGCCCCCAAATTAGGCCCAGAATGGTGGCACTCGATGTAGCACAAGGCTTTTCCTCTAAGAAAAAGGGGGTAGATGTAAAATAGAAGAGACGGCGCTCCCTTTACAGGCGACGGAAAAGAAAAAGAGCGGTAAAAAAGGCAAAATATCTGAAATGAGTAGGGAGACACTGGCAGAGAAATAGCAAGCACGAATTAAGCTAAAGGAATCTTATAGGGGGCAGGAATCGCGGGGGAAAAACTAAAAAAGCCATAAACGAAAACGAAAGGAAAACCCCAAAAATATTTCTTCTCCCATGCCAAATCAAAGTGAGAACAACGTCCAGTATTGGGCCCCTACTTAAACAAGTGGGTTAACAGATGACAGCAAGGAAATGAGTGAGCTATCAAGTCCCCAAAATGACTAGTTTTTAAACAAGCCGCAACCAGACTGAGAGTCGAAGATCAAAAGATTTTTTTATGGAGGCCACGAAATTTTGGGTTTAAAACAAAACCCATCCGATGTTATCCTGACGCCAAATGACTTCGAACAGGCGATAAACGACATGCCCCAGGGCCAGACTCATGGAACTCCGTGTTCATCAAGAACTGCAAGAAGCCCCTATAACGAGCCTTTTCCATCCTATGGAGAGGGAGCATGGACACGGGGGTCGTCCCACAGTTACTAAAAACAACAGACATAGCCCCACTCCACAAAGGGGGCAGTAAAGCAACAGCAAAGAACTACAGACCGATAGCACTAACATCCCATATAAAAATCTTTGAAAGGGTCCTAAGAAGCAAGATCACCACCCATCTAGAAACCCATCAGTTACACAACCCAGGGCAACATGGGTTTAGAACAGGTCGCCCCTGTCTGTCTCAACTATTGGATCACTACGACAAGGTCCTAGATGCACTAGAAGACAAAAAGAATGCAGATGTAATATATACAGACTTTGCAAAAGCCTTCGACAAGTGTGACCATGGCGTAATAGCGCACAAAATGCGTGCTAAAGGAATAACAGGAAAAGTCGGTCGATGGATCTATAATTTCCTCACTAACAGAACACAGAGAGTAGTCGTCAACAGAGTAAAGTCCGAGGCAGCTACGGTGAAAAGCTCTGTTCCACAAGGCACAGTACTCGCTCCCATCTTGTTCCTCACCTCATATCCGACATAGACAAGGATGTCAGCCACAGCACCGTGTCTTCCTTTGCAGATGACACCCGAATCTGCATGACAGTGTCTTCCATTACAGACACTGCAAGGCTCCAGGCGGACATCAACCAAATCTTTCAGTGGGCTGCAGAAAACAATATGAAGTTCAACGATGAGAATTTCAATTCCTCAGATATGGTAAACACGAGGAAATTAAATCTTCATCAGAGTACAAAACAAATTCTGGCCACAAAATAGAGCGAAACACCAACGTCAAAGACCTGGGAGTGATCATGTCGGAGGATCTCACCTTCAAGGACCATAACATTGTATCAATCGCATCTGCTAGAAAAATGACAGGATGGATAATGAGAACCTTCAAAACTAGGGAGGCCAAGCCCATGATGACACTCTTCAGGTCACTTGTTCTATCTAGGCTGGAATATTGCTGCACACTAACAGCACCTTTCAAGGCAGGTGAAATTGCTGACCCAGAAATGTACAGAGAACATTCACGCCGCGCATAACGGAGATAAAACACCTCAATTACTGGGAGCGCTTGAGGTTCCTAAACCTGTATTCCCTGGAATGCAGGCAGGAGAGATACATGATTATATACACCTGGAAAATCCTAGAGGGACTAGTACCGAACTTGCACACGAAAATCACTCACTACGAAAGCAAAAGACTTGGCAGACGATGCAACATCCCCCCAATGAAAAGCAGGGGTGTCACTAGCACGTTAAGAGACCATACAATAAGTGTCAGGGGCCCGAGACTGTTCAACTGCCTTCCAGCATACATAAGGGGGATTACCAATAGACCCCTGGCAGTCTTCAAGCTGGCACTGGACAAGCACCTAAAGTCGGTTCCTGACCAGCCGGGCTGTGGCTCGTACGTTGGTTTGCGTGCAGCCAGCAGTAACAGCCTGGTTGATCAGGCTCTGATCCACCGGGAGGCCTGGTCACAGACCGGGCCGCGGGGGCGTTGACCCCCGGAACTCTCTCCAGGTAAACTCCAGGTGCCTGTCCAGTGCCTTCATGAAGACAGCCAGGGGTCTATTGGTAATCCCCCATATGTATGCTGGGAGGCAGTTGAACAGTCTTGGGCCCCTGACACTTATTGTGTTGTCTCTTATCTTGTTAGTTACGAGTATATATGTCTTTTGTAGTAGTCATAATGGTGAGACATACCTGGCAGGAGTAAGGCCATTGCTACTGACTACGGAGACGAGGTGCCAACATGTGTTGACAAGCCAGTGAGCACCAATAATAAAATACACCCAAGCTCCACATGCTGTCCCCACCATGCTGTATCCAGTCACACGCGAACCTGCAGAACTTATTAACCTGTATTTTGCATTTTATTTGTGAGAAGAAATATCAAAGTCTCATGACGCGAGTTTTAGTCACAAAATGGCTCGTTCAGACTTATCAATAGTGAGGCAGATACAAAGATTTACTGATAAAGAGGTTTGCTTGCTATTTAGACTAATTATGAAGAAATGACCCTGACACAAAGACTTACCGATAACAAATAAATGAGCCAGATAAAACAAACTTACCGATAAAGAAGAAGTGAGCAGCGTAGAGTATGAGAGTAGCGAAGAAATTGAGTCTGCCCTGCCGGGAGTTACTATTGCTGAGGTGGTGAAAGTACTCAGGCTGCTGTAGGTGTTGCAATCGCTTCACTATCACCCTGCAGGAGTTACCACTGTCACTTTCCTCATTCTCAGGGAAAGGTTTAATTACCTATGTACCTATCTGCGAGAGTACTAGTCATTAACTGCTGACCCAGCGTGTATGAGGCGAGTACAACACCCCTCAAACAATTATAAAAAATTTAACCAGAACTCTTTGCGCACCATGGGTTTGTAATAGGCCTTAATGTTGTCCCAGATAACTTCCTGCAAATCTGTGTTTGTTCATAATACTTCATTACGACTGTGACCAGATATAAACATGTAAATAGTTCATTACCACTGTACCTTGTTCAGCTCTCAAAATTTTGCGGTCCAATCCCAGGACCCATTATGTACCTCTGTAATGTTCGAGTTACAGTCCCTGGACCCATTATGTGCCTCTGTAATGTTCGAGATAGTCCCTAGACCCATTATGTGCCTCTGTAATGTTCGAGATACAGTCCCTAGACCCATTATGTGCCCCTGTAATCTTTTGGCTACCACCCACAGGATGGGTGTGGGATGCATAATAAAATATATTAAACTAACTGTTCATAAGACCCTACTGTTTTTTTAGTCATGTAGAATCATATCAGTTGGGCATATCACAATTCTAAGACTCGGAGTTCTGATTAGATTTGTGTTAACATAAGTGGTGAAGGAGTGACACGTTACCAGTCAGTGGGAAGGGTTCTCCTTAGGTATTATTTTACCATGGATGGTAGAGAGGCGCTGTTTGACACATGCCAGAGGTGTTAGTAGTTCATGGCTTATTAAATTCTTCATTGATCAGTTTCTTATCTTAATGATATATTTCAGTAGTGTAGGTTTGTGATCAGTGAAGTTACAATGTAGTCTACTGTCATTACTAACTGGATCAAAATGGTGTACTGGGAACAACAAAGAAGAAATGACAGGTTTCAGAACAGGTTGTTACCGGAACAATGGTCCACGCTGTGTACACCCCCCTCAAGGAAGGTTCCTTGATGTTGGTGAGGGGCTCTTGATTTAGGGAATTGGATCTGTGCTCCAGTTCCCCGAATTAAGCCTGAATGCCTTCCACATTTTCCCCCCCAGGCGTTGTATAATCCTCCGGGTTTAGCGCTTCCCCTTGATTATTATAATAATAATAATAATAATCTGTGTACACCTTTCTCAAGTCATTACTTATAAAGTTCGCTCAATATGGAAAATAGTTGCTCAGTGGAACTCGGGCATTACTTTCTTGTACATTACGTACAACCTATGTACACCACAGTATACTTTTGTGTGTGTAAATTATTACTTTGGAAGATATTAACAAAAATAATACATTTATTTTGGTACATGCAACACGTCACGGCCAATCAGTGGCTGATCACAACTAACGTTAACAAAGACGCAGGAGATACAAAGATGCGCCAGTTGCATATCATCAATATGAGTAAGGTGAAGTTGCAACCTCCGACTAGGTTATATTAGGCTAGTTACGTCAGGTTATTTTGGATTAGGTTTCTTTAGGTCAGATTACATTTCTTATCATTTCCACAAAATAAAATTATCTCTCTCACAAAAGAAACTTAATATTGTACACTTTAAACCATAAATTAACACTAAGTCGAGCAGCTGTTCCCCACACTGACCTATAACAACACAGAGGGAAATGTCTTAATAAAAGTTTAGCTCAATATTGAGTTTAGCCGCTTGATTTCTGACCATGTAAAACATACAGCGTTAAAATGGCTTGTTCTGAGGAATTAAAACTGTATTTTGCTAACCAAACGTATGCCAACCTAACTTAGAATTACTCATAGCTTTGGTTAAATTCGGTTATGATAAGTTTGATTACCAAAAAAATAACATTTTTCCCACAGGCCTAAAATATAAATGTTTCCACTGCACAACTCACTTTATGTTGGAGAATTTACATAATAACCCACATTAAAGCGTAATGTGAGCAGCTAAATTCAGTATTGGCCAAAGTTTGATCTACACCTTTTTTTATTATTTTATTTCTATCCGGTGGATGCAGCATATTCTTCTCTCGGAAGTCTGTCCACCTGGTTACACTCCAGTTTTTTGCACTTCTTTTCACCATAAAATTTATATCGTGGCCTTTTTCTCTAGTGCTGACTTCAAAATACATTTCTTACTTGGTTTCTTACTTCTTTCATAACTTATGTGGGTCATCAACTCTCTTATTTTCAAAAGAAACATTTCCAAAACTTAATTTTACAGTTCATGTTTTTGTGTACCAAATTAAAAGTCTGCTGTCTGCTTTACCCACGCACTTCTCTTTGTTCTTCTCAGGCAGAGAGCAGCACTCTCTCCTCTCTGTTTCTCTCTCCCTACTTCTTTCCCCTCCCTCCCTTTCTCCATCCCTCCCTTCCTGAGCTCTACTCACAGGTAGAAGGTGACACACTGGGCCATCTTGGAGAGAAGGAAGATCATTCTGAATATAGTCCAAAACTCAATGGGATTTTGAGGCTGCAGGTTACACTGAGGTCCACACCGGAGTATGTCTTGAGGACCTGCATATTAATGGTTGTCAGCAAACAAGTGTTTGCAGGTGTTTAAGGAGCTATCATTTACTGTGCCCCAGATAATGTACATAAAGTACATAACATATAAATTACTTTTACAATGGGTACATAAAAATTACGTTATATTGAGAATATCCCATTTAAGTGTAATATCTCAAGAGAAGGTACTATCAGTGAGTAGCATGACTTTTACATACATACCTTGGACATATTCCTTCCAGTCAACTGAGCGTCCCCACACATCATCACGCAGGAGGAGACAAATAGTAGGACCGTCGCCCAAGAACACTTCAAACAGTCTCAGCACTCCTACAGTCACCATCTCATCCACATACCTGCGTACACACTATTGTTTGTATATCATGTTTCAAGGAGCGTCGGTGTCGTGATGCAAGGGAAGGGGAGTCGTAATGTAAGTGAAGGGGTATCGTGATGCAGGTGAAGGTTTGTCGTGATACAAGTGAAGGGGTCGTGATGCAAGTGGTGTCGTGATGCAAGTGAAGGGGAACAGCGAGCTTGCTACCATCTGCAGCTCATAAGACTGCCATCCCCACGAGCCCCTTTGAGGCGGGGTAGATGGCAGACCAGAGGCCTAGCTTCTCCCTACGAGCCCCGTGAGGGCGGGGAATGTGGCTAGGCCTGAGGACACTTGGTCCCAAAGATGAGGTACTGTACCTCCTCCCATGGGAGACTTAAGTCTCGACACACTCCCCAGATAGGGAGCCAAGGCCGGGTCACCACTACTTGGAAAAGACCCGGGCCGGGAGAATACCGGCGAATAAAAAAAAAAAAAAAAAGTGAAGGGGTATCGTGATGCAGGTGAAGGTTTGTCGTGATGCAAGTGAAGGGGTCGAAATATGAAGAATCTAAGGTGAGACACTAATGAACCCTGATTATAAACTTATTTTAGTAAAATATAAAATGAATAAACAAATAAAGAAATCTTTATTCTTCAAAGATACATAATGAGGTAATCAGTCTCCCAGCTGAGGGACGGACTAATTACCTCAAACTCCTGATCTTCAACCAGTCTTCTCGGTATTGGAGTACGGAAGCCACTGGTTAGCGAAACGTTTCCAACACTTGGTTTTCTGAACCATTTATCTATAGCTTACCTGATACCGTCCTCCCAGTTGTCCTTCTCTCCAATACCAAACTTCCAGGCTCGAGCAAATCTGTGGGACAAACAAGTGTTTCTCATTATCATTATTATTATTCATAGGGTAGCGCTAAACCTGTAGGGGTCATATGGCACCTGAGGAATGAGTAATCAAATTTAACCCAAGGAAAGAGAGTAGCTCCAATTCCTTGGATCATGACACCTTTACCAGCATTAAGACCTTCTTGGATCATGACACCTTTCCCAGCATTAAGACCTTCCCCATGGAATGGTCTTCAGAACACAGCCTGTGGTCGAAGAACTTAACAAATATTCCTCATTCTTCAAAATTTCAACGTTGTTACCCAAACGGGTTTAAATGTATGTGATATACCTTATGAGGGGGCTGAAGGGGAGGAAGAGAATGGTGATGATCCATTCCTTAGCTCCATCTTCACCTTCCTCTTCTCTAGCTTCGCGGTAGTGGCTGCAGAAAGAAATGACAGCAGTGCTATTAAGTAAAATCTAATGGTTATACTAATAACAATAATTTTTAAAGGGGTTTAGGGGTAAGCCAGGGAAGGCCTCGGTTAGATAACCAGAAGCTTCAGCTGCAGGTCATAATATGATTAAGACCCTCGCCAGGAAACACTTGTCTTGTTTCCTGACCAACATTACCTAACCAGTGCTATTATGGTGCTTCCCTCACCTGACTACTACACCTCACTGTTCAAGGTGGATGAGATACGGGTTACCGTGATGCTGCTGAACGGTTCTTGATCTAAGGAAGTTGTTCTACCTTTCCCTTCCTTGAATTTAGCCTATTACCTCTCATTTTCCAGACACTGTATGGCCTCTTACCGATTTAGTGCTTCCCCGTGAATATAATCATTGCATTACACAACCCAGGACAACATGACTTTAGAACAGGAGTCTTGTCACAATTAGTAGACATTATGGTGATGTAACAGAGGCACTGGAACAAAATATACGGAGACGTGTTACATCTGGATTTTGTAAATGAATTTGACATACGACTAACGAATTATTGTCCATAAAAAGGCAAAGAACATAGCTGGAAAATGAAAGCAGTATTCAAATTTCTAACAAACCACAACACTGGTAATTCCTGTTGATTTTCTCCGAGGCGCCATAGACTTATGCTTCCTCAGTGAAAGAATGATAGCAGATGTATTGACTAGTGTTAGTTAGTGGCCAGCAGGCGGGGCAGTGTTATAATTTACTCCTTCCTTGTTGACAGATGACCTTGCATTATTATTATAATCAAGGGGGAAGCGCTAAACCCGGAGGATTATACAGCGCCTAGGGGGGGATGTGGAAGGCATTCAGGCTTAATTCGGGGAACTGGAGCACAGATCCAATTCCCTAAATCAAGAGCCCCTCACCAACATCAAGGAACCTTCCTTGGGGAGATGACCTTGCAGCTTATCAGTTTCATCATGCCTTTGACGACCATCGTCCGAGGGTGTCCAAAGACGGTGAACGTTGATCCCATTTATTGGAAAAAAATTACTAACAAAATGTGTCAAGGTTATACACATGGATACATTCGAGGTTAAGTTGCTTAGAGAATTAATTCAATTTGAAGGTTAGAAGCTCAAGTAGGGGCCAAATTGCTGTCCTCCACAAGGACGGCACTATTATATCTGATTTAAGCTAACAGATTTCATTAATCATGTATACAACGAATTCTGTGTGATAAAGTATGACAGGAAAATAAGCTAGATGTTCGCCGAGTCCTGTGGGTCACATTCTGGAATTTATTAATAACAGTAACTATATACTTCAGACATAGGTGGACTTTGAAATGAAGTGAAATTGGGTAATAGCTTATAATATAGTAGAATACTTACTACTGAAGATTCTTGAGCCCCGCTGCAAGGTGTGGCAGGAGGAAGAAGACGAGGTAGAGGCTACAATTATCGGGAGGTTCCTCCTGAGTATACTTGTCAACTACGATGCTGATCTGGATAGCGTATCCCAGCAGGTAGGACAGAGACACCACCACCATCCACACCATCTCTAGCCATGTGAACTGTACTGAGGTCACTGACGCCCCTGTCAACACATGTATATATCTACTTAGGCCTCGTGAACACAAATAGCGACAACAAGGGTCTCAATAACGAATGGGGCAGTTACTCTAGTAGTGGAAAATTCACCTTTAATTGGAAGAAATTACCTTAGATATTAAAACAGCTGTGTATATTATACTTTGTCATAATTTTATTATGAACCAGGATGATAATAAAATTAAAATTGTAAATACTACACCGCAAAGATTAATCAAATACACTTTTACACGACAGAAAAATTAATCGTTGTGTATGCGCTTTCCCTTGATTATAATAATAATGATAATAATAATAATAATAATTTTAGTATACCTCATTATAACATTACTTCCTCAAATTTTCGCTATTGTTCCCCTCTCCATCGGTTTCATTACTATCAATGTCATTAAGTAGGGCTTTGAGATGTTCATCAGTGACATCTTATGTGCTGACATTGTAGCCTGGCACAAGTAGTTTAATATCTTAATTATGCACCCCTTACTCATCCTGTAGGCGGATAATAATAATAATAATAATCATTGCTTAGTTAATCTTAAGTTAATTTTAAGCCAGCCCGTAATGCTATGCATAGTATAAGTGGCTTTGGCATACTGCTCTTATCTGTATTTTTTTTTTGTACCTCTGTATGTGTGCACAAATTGGAAATAAATAAATAAATAAATAAATACCCATCCTGTGGGTGGTAGTCACCCCATACCCATCCTGTGGGCGGTAGTTACCCCATACTCATCCTGTGGGTGGTAGTTACCCCATACCCATCCTGTGGGTGGTAGTCACACCATACCCATCCTGTGGGCGGTAGTCACCCCATACCCATCCTGTGGATGGTAGTCACCTCATACCCATCCTGTGGGTGGTAGTTACCCAATACCCATCTTGTGGGTGGTAGTCACCTCATACCCATCCTGTGGGTGGTAGTTACGCAATACCCATCCTGTGGGCGTTAGTCACCCCATACCCATCCTGTGGGCGGTACTCACCCCATACCTATCCTGTGGGCGGTAGTCACCCCATACCCATCCTGTGGGCGGTAGTTACCCAATACCCATCCTGTGGGCGGTAGTCAGAGGATTACAGAGCAAGCTATTAACTTTTGAGAGATTTAGATATTTTAGCTGACCATCAGGTCAGAGCTATCATTCAACTCCCCCTGGGGTTATTTTGCGGGACAATGTCATGGGGTCGAATCCTGGCCTGCCGCAGTCGGGTAAATGATTCAAAACCACTTGTTTCGTGGTTCCATACATATATACATATACATATATAAAATATATAAATATATATATAATATATATATATATATATATATATATAATATATATATATATATATATATATATATATATATATATAATATATATTATATATATATATATATATAATATATATATATATATATATATATATATATATATATATATATAATATATATATATATATATATATATATATATAAAATATTATATATATATATATATATATAATATATATATATATATAAAATATATTTCTGCTCAAACACAGCCTTGTGGAAACACCAAGAATTAACTCTGTATCTTAAAAAAATATATTTTTTCCTACTGTTGTAAAATTAGGACAGATAACCCCAATACTTAGTATCTTGCTACCGTACGCGTGTACTCATCTATTTGTGGTTGCAGGGGTCGATTCATAGCTCCTGGCCCTGTGTGTGTGTGTGTGTGTGTGTGTGTGTGTGTCATTATCAGCAAGCAACCATGTGATTGATCTGGATTATTATTACTGTTATTAATATTATTATTATTTTTATGGGGAAGCGGTAAACCCGTAGTCTTCATACAGCAGCGCGTGGGGAATGGAAAGCAATCAAGTTTGATCTGAGGAAGTGTTGGGTAGATCCAGTTCCATGGATCAAGAACCCATTCACTTAACTGATCCAGACATTGTGATGCAACATTTGACTAGTATACAAAATAATAGTAACAGTTATATTGTTAATAATAACAGTTATATTGTTAATACAGATGGTAATCATTATTCCATTATGTTACTGACTAAAGTTAGGTTTATGTGCTTTGTTAGCCACTCAGTTATCCTGAGTGGCTAACACTCACGGATAAAATTCTCAACAAAATCATATCTTATCATATATAAACGTCGATAATGCAACGTTACTGATATACTGTGGAAGTGACTTCAAAAGTAACCTATAATTTGGAAATGAGTTTAGATGTTTCGGTCAGTCCTGGGCCATTATCAAGTCGCTACAGATCGAAACATCTAGTTTCACCTCTAAACTGTTGGTTAATTATTGTACTAACCACGCTGTTGCGACAACATGAAAACTAATTTCGTACCTGGACAACCCATGCTGGTATAGTGCCCCTTTATTTGTGAATACGATAACAATAATATAAAAATTTTGGCTCAACGAGATCTTTATAATCTTGTCGTTGCTTCATTCTTATCAATATAACCTCATTTTCATGGTGACTACGTTTGGCTGCCATCATTCTCATATCTACTGACCTCAAATTTGCCCAGACTAGCATTTGTTTTAATTTTCTGTATTTGTAGAGAAATCATGGCCATTATATTCAAAGAACCAACACTGTATAACAGGTCGTAGCCTTCAAATTCACTGTGTAAAAAAGTATATAAGAACAAAAGATTATTACAGGAATATCACACAAAGTAACGAAAAATCCATATGCTACACTGGCTAACACAGCATTCAGATACATTAGATGAAAATTGAAGTTTGCAACAGCAGTGTAGTATCTGCATATAAATAAACGTGGATAAAACGAAAAGTTCCAAAGATATGCTACAAAAAAATGTTGTCAATTATTAAATATGAATTAAGAAAGACTGGAAACTACTAACAATGCCTTCGTTAGTTGATAGGAAGGAAAGATGAAACATGATAACATGTTATTAGTAAGTTTATTTAGGTACAGGTACACATAAGTACAATTATCACACCTAGTAACGTGTCAAATTACCCACCAGGATAACCCAAGAAAGGTCATACAAAGGACACTTCTCAAATAATTAAATATTTCTTGGCACCATTAAGTGAGAACACAAGTTTTTAGTTATAAACTGAGACGAAAGGGAACAAAGAGAAGGTAGAAAGTATTACATCCATGGAAAGCTCTTAAGAAAAAAACAAAATATGATAAACACTGAAGACGTAAACTCCGATATAAATAAGAAATACCTAACCGGCCCTACCAAGATTCCTGCCTTTGAACATGATTAATGTGTTTATGATTCATTACCTTTGCAATTATTCATGAGTGTGACCAGCTCAACCTGGAGCTCATTACCTTTGTAACTTGATCATGATTATGACCAGATCTAGTTCATTACCTTTGTAACTTGCTCAGCTATCAAAACTTTGGAGTCCAGTCCCTGGACCAATTATGTACCTCTGTAATCTTTTGACTACCGCCCACAGAATGGGTATGGGGTGCATAATAAACATATTAAACTAAAACTGAACAACTAACGTCTACCCATGATCTCCCATTTGTTCCTATGACAGTGTATGCCTCCGAGGTAACATTACATTCATTAAATAAAAATTATTATAATCATAACCAATGGCCAAAAGTTCCAGCGGCGCGTTAACATATGACTGTTATGCAGAACATTTCAGGCAAATTATGTCAATTTTGTCCCGGGATGCGACCCATACCAGTCGACTAACACCCAGGTACCCGTTTTAAGACCCGCGTCAGGAAACACTTGTTCTGTTTCCTGACAAATTTTACCTCACCTAGCTCCTAGGT